AGGGAACAACACAACAAACAGCAGGCAGATGTGAGGCACAGAACTCAGCGTTTTACACAATGGAGGTGTTCAGGTATTGGGGGAAAAAAAAAGGCTAGTTATGGATTAAACCAGAACTGAGGCATGTGAATGAAAGGAAAACCCCCCAATTAAAAATTAAATCTCCAATTAAAAATAAAACCAATTAATGATAACTAATTGTCTCACGTCCGGTTGCTCAGGCTGTGAAATTCTCTGCTCTGTCTGAGAAAAGTATGATAAGAAGTTTCATCAAAATAGATTAGAGCTCCTGGTCTGATGATTTTACTAAAAATTAGTTTAGGAATGTTTTCCACAGTTGTATTATAAAAAAATCCCCTTTTTTACCTGCCAAATAGTTAACATTTTGGTTAATTGTGTTAGCTTTAACTTTTCCTTATATATTGTTTGGTAGTTGAAGAAAAACTTCTTAAAACAAAAAGGAAAAATTTAACATGAAAAACCTTTTGCAGCCAGGCCACGCTTAAATAAATACCCTCAAAGCAAAGGGAGAACACTGAAAACAAGGAGCCAGACTGCCCAGGGTACATCAGACAGTGCTGAGAATGCTACAAACAAAATAAATTGACACTGGAATTCGCTGGTAATTTACTTCTCCAGTAGATTAAAGCAGGGAACTTAAAATAAACAAACAGCAGCACCACAAGCACTGTATAACTCTGACACAATGCCAGGAATGGGAGATATTCTAAAGTTGTTGCATGCATTATTCTCCCTGTGGGGCTTTTTGAGGTTATACATTATTTATTTCAGTTTGCAGCCATGCTTAAGTGTCCCTGTAAAGGGAGAATCAATCAAATCCGTGTGTGCAGGAAGGCTGGGCTGGTGTCACTGCTGTCATCTTGCAGGACGCCTCTTCCACCATTCTGTGACTTTCTGATCAACTCACTGGAAGCCATTGTCCTTATTTATTTATTTTCTGCAGGATTTTTTATTTTTTTTCAGAGCAAATTGTAGCAATGACAGGAGGGAGATTGCCCGAGAAACCTGAATCTGCCAGGCTTGCTGATTTAACAAATGTTATGGCCCCTGACAATGAGGCTTTTACTTCTTGCTCCAGAGATACTCAGATAGTAACTTTCAAAGCCGTGCTGGAATTGATATAAAGCTGATTTTTCTACCCAGTTGAATTTCTCCATTTTGCTTCTTTCATGTCTCACTGAGCTGAAAATGTTCCCATTAACTTCACAACTTGGATAAATTGCATAAAAGTCCAGTGTTTAATACCCTACAGGCCTCAAAATGGGCATGAAAATCCCAACACCACAGGAATTAGCCTTGTATTTAAGGAGAGAATATAAACTAAGAATTACCAGGAATGACTGCACAAAATGTGGAGTCTTGAGGTTCTGACAAACCCTGTGCTGTTCACAGACAGTTGGAGAAAACTGAGACTGTTCAGTGGGGCTTCATGCATTGAAAATAACACCCAGGTCCCCCTTTTTGCCCTTCACAAAAGACTGATGAAAATGGAATAAATGTTCTCCTTTCCTCATTATACCTCTGCAACAGGCCTCGATCACTTTTGGGAATCTGAATTTAGATCTGCAGCAGCCAAGCTGTGCTCTCAGACTGGATTTGGCACAGTCAGTCCTTGGTGATGCAGCAAAAGTTCCTCTAAGAATGAACACCTTGGACATTTCAATGTTAATTACAGCAACACACAATTAAATGTGTAACACATGTCATCACAGCCTGGCCCATTCAGACCCTTTCAGATTTTGAAGCAGTATTTTTTCAATTTCAATTAAATTTCAAGTAAATTTTTAATTTCAATGCAATTTTTGACTAGCTGCCACACTTTTTACTGTGCTCCAACCTCACGGGCATTACTTGTATCGACAACTGAATGTACCTCATAAAAACCTGTAATTTCACTTACTTTGTCCTAATACAGTGCTCAAGTGGAGGAGTAAGATCGTTTTCCTTATTTTCAGGGCACACCTGAGCTGTATCTGCAGAGACATAACACACATTGTTAGTGGTTGGGGAAACTTCTATTCAAAAAAATCCCCAAGGAAAAGACCTCTCGGATCATTTGAGTCCAACCACTGCCACRTCCACCACTGATCACCGTGGTTAGATTACTCCTATAGAGATGGTTTCAAGGAAAACCACAGATTAGAAGATAAAATAATGTGCTGGAGAGTTGTCATGAGGCTTTTGTTTTCATGTTATGTTGTAATTACTGAGCAATTTTTGTTATTCAGACACTAAGGACAGTGGTAGCGCTACACTCGAATAGGAAACCCCAAATCCACTCCAAGCTGGGTTACAGCTCTTTCAGCCTGGAAAAGAATATTGTCCCTTGCCAGCTGAGCACAGGAGGAGAAGATGATGCTGTGTGGGATATCAGGGAGCCTCCCCAGGCTGTGAACATTCCTTTGGGACCGAGAGGCAATCGCAGCATTCCGGGGAAAACACAGAGGTCACTGTCTCAGACGCAGCATCTGTCAGCAGTGAAAGTAGAGCTGAACTTCCCAGGGACACATCCTGCCACCAGCTTGGATGTCAGTCTGCTCAGCTGCTTCCTGTTTTGGAGTCAGACATTTAAACTGCAGCAGACCAGGGTTGTTTTTTTTTTCCTTTCTTCTTTTCTGTCTGTCCCCCAGCCAACGGATCGGCGGCAAGTGAAGAATCACACCGAGCCAGGGAGGGTGCAGGATTTGGGTCGGCTTCAGTGAGACTGATGCAGACAGGATGGGAGGGGATTGTCCTGACATTCACAGCTGCCAGTCTCACACAGATCTGGCTCTCTCATGTCACAGAAAGGACCTGGCTCTCCTTTGTGTGTTGATCTGATGGGTACAAACACACACAGAAAACTGCAAGGGCTGCAGTAGAGGGCAAAGGACAATATTTGAAAGTACATGAAGTACTGGTGGCTTTCCTTTGGATCCTCAGGAGCTCAGAGGTACACAGGTATCCTTTAAGTTTAAAAGAGACTTTTTTATCATAACATTGAAGAGTTTAGAGCACAGAATTTTAGAATCATAAAGGCTGGAACCTCTCAGATTGTTAAGTGCAGCCATCAACCCAGCACTACCACCATGTTCACTATTAAATCCTGTCCCTAAATGTCACATCTACACGATTTTTGGATACTTCCAGAGCTTGTGATTCCACCACTGCCCTGGGCAGCCTGTTCCAATCCTTGGCAACCCTTTCTGTGAAGAAATTTTTCTAAATATCCAATCTCAACCTCCCCAGGGGCAATTTAAGCCACTGTCCTGACCATAGTCCTGGTACCAGGCCAGGCACATGCCCTGACTGCCTTTCCCAATAATTGCCAACTTCGATGAATTCTGTCATTTTTAGTCTTAAATTTTTCCAAATAAAAGGTTTGAATGGAGGGTTTCCATACAAAGAAATAGGAAAAAAGTATCATAAAGGAAAAAAAATCATCTTAGACTAACAGGCAAGAAACATATATATTCTACCCTTAGGCAGTGAGAAACTGAGTGCCAGCAGTTACAGCTCTTTTCTGCCTGTCTGAAATTCCTACCCCAGTGGAAAAATTGAGGAACTCTCCTCTTTTTATGGTGGTGTGCTGATGTCACATTGCCCATTTTTAGGAAGGAATTTTGTCTTTCTTGTCTGCATTTTGGCAAAGAGAAAGAGAAGCAGGGCAAATTCTCAAAAGAAAGCAGCAATTGTTATCATTCCCAAAACAGAATTCTACTCTTTTATCTGTCTTTTTTGCCTTTCTTGCCCAGCACAATTTCTTCAGGATTTCCTGAAATGTAACCATGACAGTAATTTAACCTAATTACAATCAGGATTCCCATTTCAAGGAATTCTTGCTAAAGGAAAGCCAACAGCTTTGCCACCCAGCAGCAGGGAGATGAGGCTGGGGCAGCACCCAGCACCCCGTGCTGCATCCCCTGGTAGAGCTGCCCAAAATCACCTCTCGTTGGGATTTCCATGGGGGAAATACCAGCAATATTTAGCATTCTGACATTTCCATCTGCTCCTGAGAGCATGGCTCAGATGTTTGGGCAGTGTTACCTCCTGAATGTGAAGTAATTACAGTTTTCTCCAGACACAGCAAGGGATTACTGCACAGCCAGAACCAGGAGGGTGTTTTTGAGGAATGATGGAAATATTTGCATTTTACTGCCTTTTGCGGAATTTCAGATAGCAAAGGCTTTGCTGGGACAAATCCCTGGAAGAGGCTATGGCCACAACAAAGAGATTTCTTCAACTCCATAACCTTTAGGCTTTGAGGAGAAACACACAGAAACGCCAGGACAGGGCAGATAGTAAAGGGAAAAATTATGCACACTCTGGGGAATTTCTAATCCAGGGATCTTAGAGGGCCTGGCAGCTCTCGATTTTTGAAGCATTCCTGGTGATGGAAAGACAGATCAGGATACCTAGTTTGGACCTGATGTTATATGGTACAACGCAATAAAAAAGATGTATCTCTAGTCCTGGGCTGAGCTACATCACCCATGTCACTTTTATCTGGGATGTGGGAACCAGCTGGCAATCACAGTCCTGTAAAAACTGATCTGGTTTTGAGATAATATGAAATGTGACCTCTACAACAAAATGACAGGGATTTTCTTTGAAATAAGAGGATTAATAACAGGCAGGAAGATGACTGAATTCACTACCAAATCTCGTGGACTGCTCCCCAGCACATGAACAGCTTCGCCACACGGACTCAGGCAGAACATAYAACACCCATCCCATCCAAAAACCTGGGTGTTGCTGCAAATAAGCAACAGACACAACTTCTTTCTAAAGAGCAGACCACAGCAGAGTGGCTCCTTGAGATTGAGAAGGAATTTGGTAATCAAAGAATCACAGATAAGATTGTACAAATATATCAAAGGAAGGAAAATAAAGGGTAAGTAAGATATTATTAGTTAACAGGACTTCAGTGGTGGAGAATGTACTGAAGTRGGTGCTTTCTAAGGATCAGAATACTCATTCAAATGCCTTCCAGTTGGAGAAGTATGGAGTTACTGTAAGAGCAGCTGTGTAATTTGGCACCATTTCCTGCAAGGAGTGCAACACGTTGGAAGATCTTTTGCAGGCTTGTGCTTCCAGGCAGGTAAGAGACTATAAACTTTTTTAGCAGATTATTGGCATCTTCTTGCCTTGAAAAAGGATTTCATGTTTCCTCTCTGCTTGTTTTCCTACAGGCACTGAGGGTTAAGGAAGCAGAGACCAGCCCTTTGTGCCTGTAGAAATGATGTGCGATGATGTGAAGGAGAATGAGAGCAATAAAATGTATTTTATAGACCTGGGAGTAGGAACAAGCCAGAAATCACGACCTGCTCCTTGGAAATCAACACCACTGAAAGATTTACCAGTGTGTATGAAGTGACACACGCTCACTGTTAACCCTTTCAAGAGCTTATCCTCAAAACTTCCCTGCAGAACATAATTAATCACCAAAACTAATTGYGGAAATTAGGGAACAGCACTCAAATGAACACTTACTGCCTGTGACCATCACTGTTTGTATCATTGGATCCTTCTTTCTGCCCCCCAGAGGTGAAATGCAGAGTCAGGGAGCTGCACATACCCACTGTCAACCGTATTTCTTCGTCCTGGTTGGCCAARCCATCGTAGTAATAGAGATCAAACCTCCGTCCTGCTTTCCAGTCACTGAGCAAATCCTTTTCCAGACAAAAGAGCACACTGAAGTGGCTTTCACTGCAGACCAGCCAAATKGGGTACTTGGGGGTCTTCAGGTAACAGCCAACCTAGAAGAAAAACACAAAATATTAGAGCATCGCCAGGGTTGGGCGGGAGAAACAATTCATGGTGGAAAACATAAAATTTATAAGATCATTTATTAATTGCAGTCTACAAATACTAATGACTGTTGATGAAGCAGATCAGATTTACCATTTACCAGCTCTGGTAAATCATGGAGCATATTGCTGCCTTTCAGCTGTTCTTASAATTATGAGGCTGACATGGTTAAGGGGATTAAAGGTTTTTTCCTCGGTATTTAATGGGATCCCAGATGCAAAACTCTTCAAAGGTGGAAGATGCCGAGATGCACGCATTGTAAAACACATATACAATTTTTATAGGCCTTAGAAATTAGCATTTCTATCTAGAATTCCCCAATAAGAAACTTAACAAATGAAGTAATGACCCCCTATTTTAAAGAATCTCCCTCCAGATGAGGTCAGAGCCCAGTTTACACAATGTGTCCCAGAGAAAAGGCTCCAGCAAAGGCTGATCTCTAGTTTAAGAYACCACAGGGCACATTGACCYCTTTCTGAGGATGTTTGGTCTCTCTGCCTTGGAGAACCCCAAAACTGAGCTGGAATATCAGGCTGCAAGAATTGCAAGCATGTAGGCAAAGGGTACAAGGAACCTATAAAGGGTACAAAAAATATCTAAAAGGGTATAGAAAATACATAAAAAGGTATGTAAAAAGAAAAGGCAAAAATCATCAGGCATCAATATCAAGCAAACCCTAAGCCTTGAGTTATGGCAGGTACTGAAATGCAGCTGCAGTGCTCTAAGGACAGCAAAAAGATCAGATCCCAGATGGGCAGAACCAAAGGAAAGCCCTGTCCTCTGCAACAGCTGTAAAACCACACTGAGCTCAGGTCAGGAACATGACCCAGGATCAATGGGAGGCTCTGCTATTGTTCAACAGCAACTGGGAGCCAGTTACAGGATCTCAAGTGCCATGAGGCATGGGCAACTCAATCAAGCCCAAAATCTCTTCTTGGATAAAGAATAGATAAATTCCCTTCACTTTATCATTTCCACAGTCCAAATATGTATTTTAAGCTTTTGAAGATTGCAATAATGGAAGCATTTGYTTTGCTTCGTTATTCTAAAAATGAAATATGCTCAGGAAAAAAAAAAATCTTTAACGAAAGACTTTTCTATGCCTTTGTCCTTTTTTTGAAAGTTTGAAAGTTTATTTATAAATATCCTGAATATTCTCTAAGAAAGTACTTAAAAACAAATTTCATACTCATTTTTTGAGGTTTTAAACTCAAATACTCAAGAGAGTTAATCTATAATGGATGGGGAAAGGGGACACCAACCGCAGTGTAGCTGGGTTTTGTATCTCRGAGGAACTGCTTAGGGAAACTGAAATCTGAAATTATACATTTTGCTTTCAGTCAAATCCTGGTGGAAATTGAGGGACTTTTAAAAGAAAAAAAAATTGTTACACCTGATTTCTAGAGACATATTTGTGGGTACAGCTCCTACAGTGCAGCCCTCAGCTCTTCACCCTGGGCACAGGGGCAAATGGCAAACGCCAAAAGGCACAAGGCAACATTTATTATGATGTAATTACAAATCTAATAAACACCCTGAGTGATAAGGAGTTCTGTTTTCATCTTGACTGATATTTAGGATTTATATTTGAAGTGTTACAAGGGCAAACTCAGCTGCCATCCCCAATGAGAATTTCTTCTGATGTTAGATAACAAGTCTCCTGCTAATTAAGTAACTGTTCCCTGACTCATTACTTTGCTAATATCTATTTAAAACAGCCTTTTATGCAACAGTTTTGCTTTTTAAGTAAATTCTTGGCTTGGAAGTAAAGGAATTTTTTTACAAGCTTACAATAATACTCGTACCAGGAGTTATCAAAAAAGAAAATATGCRGTTCCAACAAAAGATGGAAAATTAGAGAAACACAGATGAAAAGATTCAGCCTCACAAACATGCATCTTTTAATATGCAGATAAGTCAAAGCCAAAAAGAACAGCCAGTCTCCTCCTAAAAATGTGCTCTTCCTACGTCGTCTGTCTGCAAAAGCAACTTCCCATCTTTATCAAACAACATTTGACAAAGATTAGAGAGATACAGGACTTTCAAAGCCACATCCACTCGCATGAAGCATCCCCCTGAAGCCAGGWCAAAGTGTTCAGATGATTGAGGGCTGCAGGAACATTCCCCCAAAATGGGCAGTTTTCAATTACAATCTTCAACGAAAGCAGCGAGGGCACGAACTTTGAGACAACAAAGAGTCTAAAAATACTGCAGCTCTCAAATCCAGAGGGGAGAAGTCTTCATTTTGGTCACATCAATAAAGCAGCTGAGGATWAGCTGCTGCCTTTGACACCGAGATGCAAAAAGTATTTTGCTCAAAATGTAATATGGAACCATGCTGCTGACAAAGACAGGACAATGCTCAGAGTGAGGATTCCTCTGCAAGACTCAGTTGGAGTAGAATCACTGAGTCATTTAATTTGGAAACAACCTCCAGGACCATCGAGTCCAACCTCCGACCACCACCTTGAGAACCAGACCAGAGCACTGAGTGCCACCTCCAGTGCTTTTCTGAGTACTCCAGGGAATGAGGACTCCATCACCTTCCTGGGCAGCCAATTCCAACACCTGACCACACTTCCAGTGAGGAAATTCCTCCTGGTGTYCAACCTGAGCCTCCCTTGGTACAGCTTGAGACCATTTCCTCTTGYYCTGTGCCTTGTYTTCTGGGAGAAGAGGCCAACCCTCCCTTCAATAAAATCCCCTGTCAGGGAATTGTAGARGGCAATGAGGTGCCCCTGAACCTCCTTTTCTCCAGGCTAAACACACCCCAGCCCCCTCAGCAGCTACTCACAGCTACCTCCAGACCCTTCCCATACATAGAATTATGCCCCATTTAACTGGTCCAGCTGATGAGGTCTGAGTGCTCCCTGAGCAGCCTGGCTAGTGRTCATGATCCTGGAACAAAACCTGGAAGGAGAACAGGGAAGAGCAGCAGGAACATTCAGTGACACCCCTCAAACTCAGCAGAGTGTCTGTGTTAYCCACCAAGAGCTTGGCAGAGATCAGGGCCCTTCCTTCCAGTGTGTTCCCTGTGACTCTGAGGCTGAATTCCAAAGGCAAATCRGGGACATGGGACTTGCATCCCTTTTATGAAGTATTATTTTTAATAAGGGCTCAATGGGTGTATTTTTATTCCTATTCAAGTAYTGGTTTTCAAGCAGGCTCATTAATCATCTTCAGACAGAAAAAAAAAAAAGCGAGAGGGGAATGAATGAGGCATCCTCTCATGCTGCATGTTCTCAATTCTGATGGAGACTTCATTCACCCTGATCCTCTCCCTCACAGAGCCCTTAAGAACGCTCACAAATTTCAGGGAYACTGCTCTGATCTTTGGGAAACGCCAACTTTCCAAAAGCAACACCTTCAGAGGGCTCATTCCCACCACCAAGGGCCGTCCCTTTCCCCATCCAGCATCTGACTTGGGCGTGTAGTCACACACTGGTGAAATTCAACCTACAAATACTCATTGCTGCACAATTATTCCAGAGTGACAGGTGGGACCTCACCATTCAGCTCTTATTTGTTCCTTGAACAAGGCCACCTTTTACCATGTGTGTTCCAAAAGAACCAAGAGAAAGTCATACCAAAACCAAGCAGGATCACTGGATGTGGCCAATCTGACAGCATTTTTCTCCAGGAGTTTCATCATTTAATATAATTTCACCTCCTTGTTTATGGGACTTTCATATCATCTTCTAGTTATAATCCATCATTTCTTGCTTTATGTTTCTTTCCTTGAATGCAGCTGCTAGAGATGTTTCTTTGCCAAGCAATCACAGTGTGTGACTTCCACGAAGGGCTGGGTTCTGTCAAACTGAGTAATTCCTGGTAGGACTGACAGACAAAAGGATAACCCCACAAAGCTTTCAGAGTTCAGGCAACAGCCTATTGTTTGTTCTGTCAGTGTTTTATTCCCCACAGCTGCAATGACCTTTACTCAATGAATATCCAAAAATGTTCCAGTGGGATCAAGCCTGCAGTGTCAGTGGTGTAAAATGAGAAATCTTTTCAGCAGCCCTCGGGGCAGCAGGAGCCCCCCAGACCCAGATCCCCTACTCCACCAGCACCACTGAAACACCAGGTCAGCCACATTACTGCTTTATTATCAGATAATTAAGGGACACTGTCAGGGTAAAGTTATTCCCAATGCTAAGTACTTGATTTCAACCAGACTGAGAAAAATAAAATTAATGTTTACGAGACCTGACATTGCAAGTCTCATGCACTTTCATGACTGTGCCAGGTGAGATAGAAATTGAAGAGTTTTAAGCCATGTATTCATAAAGTACCAGCAAACACTACTGCTACACTGGAGCCTTAGATAATTTATCTGCAGCTTTGTTTTGGTTTGTTTTGTTTTTATTTTTTTTTTTTGCAGGGGTGGGTTTTGGATAGAAAAGGAAATCTTTCTGATAATGAACTGGGGCAAAAAAAAAGGGTGATATCACAGAAAAGGTGACATTACTGAGGAAGAAGGAAAGAGATCTGTGTTAAATCCCAGGACTCCCAAGGCAAAGAAGAGACTCCTGGAAAGCACTGGTTTTGGATTGAAGTTCCCTAATGCTGCCATGGTATAAAAAGCTGCAGATGTGGCAAGAACAGACCTCAGGGTGCAAGGCAGCCTCAAGATCTTTTCTTTATCCTTGTCCCGCTCTGCTGCTCTTCTGGAATGTCCCAAAAAAATGAAGAAATTTTGAGAGATTCAGACCCTCTCTTAGACTTCAGCATTTTGCCATTTCCTCGCTACCCAAAGGTGTTTATGATTCACTTCAGGGAGTTTCATCACTGCAAGGACAAGCAAAGGGCAGGAATCAGCTCACTGAACTCCTCTGCATTTATTTCTAGGCTCTCTAATGCAGATTGGCCCTTAGGCTCTGTTGTAAAATCAAATAAGGAAGAGATGAGAATTGTCAAAAATTCAGACCCTCCCCATTTCCCAGCGATGCAGGGAGCTGGCTGGACTCTTACCTGAAGCATTTTCAGCCTAAAAAGCACTTAAAGTGAGATGGGGTAAATCCAGATCCAAATGCASGTGTTTATAATCTAAAGAGACATGTGGAAAATATCTGACTGATCATTTTCTGYTTTATCTGTCTGCAAAGCATTGCAGAGCTCTTCTGAACATGTGGGGTTTGTTATCCTTATTGCCCTAAATAAAAACCCTGTGATTCCATTTCATTGGGAAGGATGTTGATGAGGAAGCAATGCCAATACCCCAGCAACTGTGGCTGGCTTCTGGGAAAACAACTGACCATAACTCAGAGGACAATGGGACTTCATTAAGGAAAAATTCAGTTCCAGGCTAGAAAGGGAGATGTAAAAACAAGGAATGAAGAACAGACTACTCCAAAGGCCAAGGCTTTGCCAGCCGTGTTTCAGCCCAATCTGAATATATCTCATGCTTATTGCCTACAGAGATGCTCACCAAAGTCTTACATGAAAAGCAGCTCCCTTTGCTGCATCTACAGGGCACAATATTTACCCCCATTCCCAAAAAATCAATGGAAAATTGAAGCCAACCATCAGCTTCCATTTTGCACCTGCCCGTTTTTGTGGCCGGTTTCTCAATGAGGAGGCTAAAACCCCCTTTCTAAATTTCCCCCTCCACAACCCCACCTTGAATCCAGCCCATCTGATGGAGAAAGGAGATTATTCAGGAGACACATTTCCCAGGGAAGAAGGTTCTAGAAGGGACATTCCACAGGGCAAAAAACCAGGTGAGGAGCCAGAGGACAGARCACGTGTGCTGAATTTAATCATTCGAGAGGGCCTTGTCACAGCACTGAGCGGTTTCTTCAAAGGGAACAAAGATAATTGCCCCCATCTGTGGAATTTTAACGGATAAATTCTGTTTATTTCTGTTGCTTTACTCTCTCTCTTTTTGAAAAGAAATAGGAAAAATGTGCGCAATTCCTTTGTCAATGCCCTCTCCATTTTCAGAGAAGCGAAAATTGAAAAGCACCAGTCCATTGAAATGCTGACAGCTCAGACTGGGACTGGGACTCTGTCAGAAATCAGAGTAAAGGGAATTTGGGAGGTCAGAAAACAGGAGGTTTAACTGACAGGACAGCTTAAAGCACGAGAGAATAGGCGAAAACAAAGAAGAATCAAAGAGAAGGTTCAAAAGAGACAAATAACCTTGAATATTTCCATTATTTCACGTACAACAGCACATACCTAAAGCGGTTTCAACAAGCTTTTCAGAAGGATGGTGAAATTCATGAGCCAGCACCACACTGCCTTTAAAATGAGAGATTCAGACCTGTGTGAACTCCTCCCAGCTCTGCCAGGGTGACTTACTGGGACAAGCACTCTGACTTTTATTCATCTGTCACCCCTCTCTGTAAAATGGAAATGGCGCTTGCCACTCTCAAAAAGCACAGATCTGCTAACAGGAAATGACACAGAAATTGTATGAATTGTTGTTACTATGATCATCATTAATGTTAATTAGTACAGTGATATTAATGGGTTATTAATGGTATTAAAGAATTAGCAAGTAATTATAATGATAATAACAGTAGTATCTGTTAAATTTATTACCGGAGAACGCAGATTATTTTTACCTTTTTCACTCTTATTAAATGACCTAAACATGAGGAGCCTCTGGCTCCAACCGTTCCAACTTTTAATGTCACAAGACATTTTGAAAGAAAGAATTTCATTATTTTTAGTTTTGTCACCTGTAGTTTTAATGTGGCATTTAGGSCAAAAGCTCTGACTCAAATGCAGGGATTTCTCACCCAGGACTGCCAAAATTGGTCCTGCCCACTCCTGTGCCTCATCCCCTTCTCTGAGGTTTTGTCCCTGCTGAGAAACCACTCAGCTTCCCTGCGACAGAACTGCTGCATCCTGCAGCTCAGCAAACAGAGGGAACCCCCAYCAATTTCATCTGGAATTCCTTCTATTGCCTAAAGTGCTCTAAATAAATCCCTGGAAACCCAAAATCTCAATTCAGGCTCCTAAATTAAATGTGTACAATCACATGGAACTGATATTGCTTAAATATGGGCTCAGCACAACGAAAAACCCCAAGATGTGTAATTTGCCTGCTGAGAAGCAGCAGAATTGGACTTCCAGCTTTTTTTCCCATTAAAACACGGAATCTCGCTGTGAAACCAAACATTTGCATATGAAACAGATGGAAGGGACCCATCTGCCATTGTGAAACTATTTGCAGCAAGTAATTACACTGCAAAATCCTCCAGTGAGTCTGGAGATACGTCAGGATGGGGAGCGATGATTAAACATTAACAATCCCAGACAAATCACTGCAAGCACACATTTTTCTAATCAGCAAAAATAACACTGGCAGAGATGAAGGGAAGGGGAACAGAGGGATGCTCCAGGAAATAGCTGGAGAAGAAGGGATGGGTCCTTTTGTTTCGGTTTGGGTTTGACAGGAGGATTAATTCTGTTCACGCGCCCTCACAAAACCTGCAACTCGTAAACCACGCCAAGGGAATGGTGGATTATATTAAAAAATATTAGAAAAGGGAGATAAAGTGTTACAGGATTCTTCCACAATATGGATTTACTGCTTCTAGCCTGGAATCTTGAATATCCCTTCCTACATGAATATCCCTTGCTACATGTAAGTTGGAACAAGCCTAGAGCAGGGCAATAAAAACAAGCTTTGGACAGGATGTGCTGATGAAAAAGGGAGGAACTGTTGCATCAGCTGCAAATGCCCAGCGGATGGGGAGGAATTGTTTAGGGGGCAGCTTGGATTAGGAGTCAAATTATAATCAGAGGAAGCCAAGCAAATGAGGAGTCTGATTTATTAATAGTATTTCTAAACAAACTGAGTAGGATGGATTAAAATCTCCAAATTCACAAATACCTGCAAATCTGTACTTGCACTTGTATTTTAGATATAAATAAATATTTATTTATATTATGGGTGAGAAAAACTCTAAGATCACAGTTACATGCACCAAAACCAACTAAAAAATGACCACTGAACAAAAAGGAACTCCACGGATATGGTTTTTTAAAAGAAACCCTGCTATATAACAGGACATAAAAATATCCTCAATTATCCCCTGAGAGATTGGCTGGATATGACCTAAAGGGAGTTTTCTGACTCCCGTGTCTATGATTCACCCTACAGCATGCTCAGGATTTTCTTGCTGCTGTTCTGGAAACAGAAAATAAACCCAAGCAGAAATGACAGTCCTTTTCCATGGCTGGTTTCAGTCACCAGCCTCAGAGCCACGCTGTAATTGGATGCTGAGAGGAATAAAAGAGTCACTTTGAAAGACAAATTCTATTCTCAGTTCCACCACTCCAAACTGCCACTGGCATTTCTTTTTCCTGAGCTGCTCTARTTTTTGTCACAGGAAGCAGAATCTGGCCCCTCATGCTGAAGCCAYGGTGGAACCTCCCSRATTTGGGGCCAAAGTCCACGAGAAYCTGACTTTTGTCTCAGCCCTAAGCAGACATTGCTTCTGAACTGAAATGCAGAGAACACCCAGATATTCTTAATAAAAACCAGAACAATTTGCAGCAGATGCCCAACTTGTGTAGACTCCCAAAAAAAAAGGAAACTACGTCTGCTGGAGTTTCTGTAACTGATTAAGTCACTGGCCTGGAAAAACAGATCCCTGCTCATGAGTGCAGCTCCCAAGCAGCAGCACAGCAGGAGGARCAGATCCCCTCTACCATATAATTTGCAGAATAAGTGGAAAATGGTGTCTGAATCTCTGGGTAACTTCTTTTATTTTTAGAGSGCAGGTGGGTAAGAAATAGCTCTTACCTGCCCTGACCTCATTTACCATTTTGCTACTCCTAAGTCATTTTCCTCACTAGAGAATGGAAAAAGTGTYGGAGTGGTGCATAACCATTTTTTGAGGTTTTAAATGTTACATTGTTTATAGAAAAGAAGCGTGAACTAGAAACAGAAGCTTATTTATTTATAGTCCACTCTGTTCTGAATTAATCTGATTTGGATACACTGATAAGCTGTCTTGACTGAATTCAAGCCTTTTAAAATCTTGTGAATAAAGTAAATGATTGTGTTAATTAAAACTCACAAAAATTATGGTTTGTCAGTAGTAGGAGAATGTAGCTGACTTCAGCCATATGGGGAGGAGCTAAAACCACACTTTGTTTTCAGTCACACATTTKTATCAGATCAGTACAAACAAGTTTGATAATCACTTCCAAACTTTTAGAGAGGTGCTGCTGCTGCAAATGCAGCTGGGGCTGCTACACATCCAATTTAGCATCTGATAAAAGCAGGAGATTTCAAATAATATTCCTGTATCAAACACAAGATTGGCTGTTGGGGGTAGAACATCTCTTTCGGGAAGAAGTCCATCCCAACATCCTCCACCTCCTGTTGATGGAGAACTTGCGAAATCCTTACACAAGCTTTTCCTGATGTAAATGAATCCTTGTCACTCCTTTGAAAGTTTTAATCTGTCTTTTCATTTTCAGGATGACAACAATTGGAATATGACTATCAAAAGCAATTAAAGGGAACAATCCCATGGCATTAACAGCTGTTTTAATTGTAATATTTTAACTGCTAACACAACACAGCCACCACTGCAGCAMAGAGCAGAGCAACTGAACCAAGCCAGTGATTTCTCCGCTGCTTTACTCGCTGCAAGATGATTTTAAAAGTAATTTTCCTTTTAATTAAATATTAAAAATTCCAGGAGAATGGAAAGCATACCTGACAGACATCATAGTGCTCAAAGAGGGACAGCAAACCGATATCACTRCGGCTGGTGATGCCCTTCAGAATGGTGATGTTGCCATTGCCAGAGTCCAGCTCGATCACGTTGTTGAAAACATTGGACACAGCTTTGCCAGTCAGAAGCAAGTTCACCAATTCCTGTTTGGGACATGTTAAAAAAAAACAAAACAAAAGCAAACAGTAGTTAAACATATGCATGAGACTGATCCAGAACTGGTAAAGTTACACATATGTCTGACCCTTAATTTATGTGGTGGTTTTAGGTTTATTAATTTGGGATTAGAATGGCTTATAAAAAAAATCCAGATATTTTGATCAAAGTCTCCCAAAGTAAAATGAGGCAATCATAAAATCACACAAAATCACAGAATATCCTGTGTTGGAAGGGACTCATCAGCATCATCAATTCCAGCTCCTGGCCCTGTACAAAAACCCCAACAATCCCCCCACTGTGCATCCCTGGCAGCGCTGCCCAAACACTCCTGGAGCTCTGGCAGCCTTGGGGCTGGGACCATTCCCTGGGGAGCCTGGGCAGTGCCAGCACCCTCTGGGGACAGAAGAACCTTGTCACYGCTGTGGGCTGGACTTTTTATCCAAAAGGATGCTGTGAGAGACAGYATCAAAAGCTTTGCTGCAKTCCARATACTAGAGGAGTTTTCAATTTCCTTCCTTCCAGAAAGATGCTTGGGGTTCCCTATCTGATTCCATGATCCCATGATTCTCTCCACTGCCCTTCTGGCTGCAAAAGACAGGCTTCCTGTTCTTCTCTTGTTGCTAGAGGACTTTTGTACTGTGGCTACGCAGTGTTCCTCAAGAAGTTGGAAGCAGATGAGCTTTAAGGCCCCTTCCCACCCAAACCATGCAGTGATTTCATGACTCTGACCTAAAAAAATCAGAAATACCACCTGTTCCCAGAGTCAGGTCATAGCAGAAGCACAGGACATCCCAAAACTGTACCCCTAACTCACCTGAGTGCAGTAGCCATGGCTGCCAATCAGGCGGTTCGTGAGCACATCAAAGTCATTGCGCACCCTGAAGGGGAAAAGTAAATTAAATTAAAATACAATTAAATTTAAACACACTTGCTTCTTCTCACCTGCCCTAAAATCTCAATATCCAAGCATAAATACAGCTCTGTACTTTTTGAGTCCTTTATTTTTTGCTTGGCAAAACAAAAAAAAAAAAAAAAAAAAAAAAAGTGACCATATAAACTAAACCTGTGGCAAGGAAAAGTTTGGTAGCTAAGCTTGAAGGAAATAGCTGTGCAGGAGAAAAGAAGGCATTGTCACCATTAGTTAGAAATCTAGAAATCAGAATTACTGCACTCTTTGTCTGAGAGAATCACAGAATGGGTGAGGCTGGAAGGRACCTCTGGATGTCCCTTTTTCCACCCCACCTCTGATACCTACAGCAGTTCCCCAAGTCCATATCTGGATGGATTCTGAATATCCCAAAGGAGGTGAAATCCACAAAGTACCTGGGAAACTTATTCCAGTATTCAGGTAAGATTTGCTATTTGCTGTTCCTATCCTAAATACTCATAATATATCCATACAATCTGTACACTACATTGTCCAGGAAAAAAAAGAAAA